GTTATAATATCATGAATATTTATTGTTAGAGAAATTTTATAATAGATTATGGAAAGTAATAAATGAGTTTATTTAAATTGTAAAGTATTTATATAGTTAGAGAAATATAAGGAAAGACTAAAAATGTTAGTCTAATGGGTCCAAACAACTTTTTTAAGTAGATTTATTTAGACTCCTTCTCTTTTAATAGTATAGATTACCCTTTTTCTACTTTTTTTTCCCTCTCGATCTCTCCTCAATATTATGTATTATACACTTTTGGCCCCTATACTTACGTAATCATCTTTAAGATAACAAATTAAAAGCGTCATGAAAGTCTTAAGGAAAGATTATATAGATTTCAATTTTATACGGGATTTTAAATTAGGATTGCCAAAAATAAATATGAAATATGGTGAGAAATTCCTAAACAAAGAGAGAGTTAAATGGTAACAGCTATTGACTAACTTTGAAATTAAGGGTGAATATAGATCAAATAATACAATAGTTTCCAGTATTTGTGATTTATTTTGTATTTCACGGATATCTGACCTTTTGATTTGTAAAATTACGAATATATGATTTTACGGATATATGGAAAATTTACAAATATTTGCGATATGTATGGATATGTTATCTATTTTGTTCAATACAAGTAAATCTACAAAAAAACTATATAAGGTGTTTCAAAAAAAATATTTTACATAATATAAAATAAAGATTAAAAATTAATGAAACTAATGTTTCATTAATTTCTAAAAGTAATAAAATTTTTTAAAAGAAAATTATAGTTTTCTATAAAGATTTATATTATTTTTCTTAATTTAACTTTTATAAGTATTTTTATAAATAAAATTATATGTTAAATAATATTATATAAGATTTTACACTTAAACTCTATATTTAATTAAAATATACATTTATTTGTATAAAAGACGGAGCCGAGTGGATATTTGTTCCTGAAACTTTAGTATTTATGTTTTTTTTTAAACGAATATTATTTTTAATATTTGCTTTGTTTCAAAGATTTACGGATATCCTGATTTTTTTGGATTTGGACCGAAACTAATAACGAATCGTATCAAATTTAACATATAAGATATCCATATAAGATATTCAGTCCTATTTGGAATGTATAACATTGGAAACAATCTTTATACTCTATGTACAGAGATCTGATGAAAAAACTATTCTTAAGAGACAAAAGATAAATGTTATGGACGCTATTTTCATTAAAATTACAATAAGCTCGGGAACAGGTTTATAGCTGTAATATTTGACAATTGTATGGATTACATAAAATATGAAAATGTCTGATAAAGCAGGTTCAAATATTTATAATAACTAGTTTTTTTGTAACTAATATAATAACTAGTTGCATAACTGTTTATCTTTAAATTCCATGTTTCAATTTATGTAAACAAAGATAGCAATATGAATTGGACATTCGGGGATAAATTGATAAGATCAAACTATTAGGAAACACTATGTACGGTATTATTCAAAAGGGAGACTTGGAGAAGATAGAGATGTGTGTGATCCACTAAAGTCATTGAAAATAATTATACAGGGATACCCTAGTGGACATGTTTGCTCTTAATGGGTTTAGTAGAGACGTTTGTTCCACGGCAAGAACCCCACCATTCTTTATAACACAAGTCAAGCAGATTCCTTTCATTTAGTTGAGTAATTCCAAGTCATAGGAAAGAGACCTTGTACTAAAGCTCCAACACAAGCATTCCTTTTAAAAAAAAAACATATTTCTAAATACTAGTTATAGGCTTTTACTTTTGATTCCATGTGTATTGGTAGAACAACTCAATCAATGATATGAGGATGAAGTTTTTTTCAAAAAAAAATGATTAGTTACTAATTAATGTAAAAGTAATTGATGAGATTCTATCCAATAAAGAGTCTGATTGAGATTTTTTACATTAGTGGCTATTGAAGTTTTAGTTTAAATCTAAGGGGTGGTTAATGAGAATTGAATTTATAAGGATTATTAGAATTATTAGTTTAGTGATTCTTACATTTTTATTAAATTTTAGTGTTATTAGTTTGATGATTTTATAATTCTATAAAAAAATTCATTGTTATTCAATTTTTTTAGATTTTAATGATTCTACAAATCTATTACAGTAAGTGATATTGGAAGTTACATTCTTAACATTTTAATTCACAAAACAAGATTTTGAGAATACTACATATATCTATTGGATTCTTAAAATCATTATAATACTTAATTTTCATAAATTTTCACAATATATAAAATTTTCTACAACTCTTTTCAAATTTAATAGATCTCTCAATCCCACTAACATTCCCTAAAATCTTTAAAGTTAAATTATTATCAATCAAGCTTTAGAGTTTCTAAAGTCTTTAAAGTTTTCCTTAAAATTCTCAAAGCCAAAATAACTGTGTTTGTTCTTTCCGTTCCCATGATTTTTTAGGAATTTATTGGATGAGTATTAGAATTCATCAATCAGTCTTACTTTAATTACTTCTTGAGAACTTCTTTCTATACCTGATAAGGGTGTTGTAATAAGAAATAACAGGATCGGTTTCTTGAGAAGGAGGAAAGTTAATGAAAGTATGAAACCATCATCAGAATTTTCCATGATTTTCTTAGACTAAGTAATGAAAACAAAAACACAGTCTATCAATGTTATGTTGATTATGGAAGCAGCTTAAATCTTGATGCACTATTAAAACACACATTCATTGGAGCGATTTACATTTTAGGGGTTTCAAAATTAGTCTTCATATAATTATATAATCATCAAAAAAGTTAAAACAGTTATTTACCTCAATCGAGTTTCTCGCTTTCTTGTTCTTTGTGAATTTGCGTTTGTTCACGATGATTCAATATAGTTTTGTTAGTCTTTTGACTTATCAAATCTGATTAACAAACAAAACCAGCTTTGTCCTGGATATTAACCATATAATTAGAATGTCATGCAGGGAGTACATGTTGGCGTATTTCAAGGATCAGTCTCTTTTATACTCCAATATGTAGCAACACGAGCTGATATGAGACAGTAGCAATGTAGCAATCCGACCTACTAATACATTAGAGAAAAATAAGATTATGAGTAACATCAACCTGAATTTCCTTGATGACCTAATTTCAAAGACCGATAATAAGAGCAATAACAATGCTTCTAAATCAAATCACTAATATGAGCTATGATCATATGCAATATCTGGGCTTATTGAATTTATGTTGGACTTGTCACTAAACTCTTTGATGAAATGTTGTCATCATGATTTATCATAACTCATAAGGAACTGTTAATTATAACTTCTGATACAAAACCGAAATAGGCTGGGCTGGGCCTTTAGTTAACTGGGTGGGCTTGATTGACATGCAAGATATATATTTTCCGTTATAGTATTGTGACATGCTTTAAAAGTCTTGAAAAATTGATCCAAAAAAAGTCTTGAGAAAATGTCCTCATCCTCCCTCAGGTTCTCTGGTTGATGATGAAGGTTTTAAATTGTACATAGAAATGACGATGCAGAACAAAAAGGAAAGCTGGACCACTGGACCCTGTAGTTTCCGTAGAAACGCAAAGGATACCTTCTCTGACTCTTCTTCCTATATTATGAATCGTATATTAAAAATATTATAGTGTAGAGAATCTAGAGATTATATGTGCCTCTAAGAATATTAATACTCCTATATAATTATTTTTACATTCGTCATAACTAGATGAGTAGATGGCTAGATGAATGTCATGTGTTATATAAGGTTCTCACAAATATATTTTTATTGTCTTACTTACGTTTTAGTTATTTGTGTTATTTTTTTGGTAAAATGTTAAGATTTTGTGTATTTTTAATGGTGAAATATTAACATGATAATTGTTCTGTGATACAAATATCTGTAATAGGTTTTTGGGTCCGTCTGGTGAGCTCGATTGATCTTTATTTTCCTCTTATATTGACATGCTTTAAATAAGTCTTGGGTCAATGAGAAATGTGCTCACCCTCCTTCTGGAACTCTGGTTTGATGTCAAAGTTTTTAAATTGTGAAGTAAATAGAAATGACGACCAAGACCAAAACGGAAAGCCCCACTGGACCATGCATGTAGTTTTCGTATAAACGCAAGGACACCTAATCTGACTCTTCTTCCTATACATATTATGGATAGGTATAGCAAAAAAGTTTCAATTTTATTGGCTACCAGGAAATTCTAACGCTTTCTTAATCTTTAGAAGTTTCTTTTTCGAGACCACTTGCTAAATGCTATCACTGCCGTTCGAATCTTTTACAAAGAATTATGAAATTATTCAACGACTTTTCTCTACCAAACTATTATTACAAGTGAATGTGCTTGTGTCGTTAAAAGAACACCACTAAAAAGAGGGACATGATACCAAAAAAAGAACAGAGGGAGTACCTTTTTTGTGGTAAACATTAGTAGTACTTTTTTTGAATGGAATGTTTAATAGTACTTACTAACACAGATTAACATATATACTACAAACAAATAGATAGAATCAGTGCATTAGATTTGCATGTTCAGCTTTCAAACAAAGGCGGCTGTTCGTTATTTATTTATTTATTTTTTTCCATTTTGACTAGTATGCAAAAACGAAGGGGAGAGAGAGAGAGAAGGGCGTAGTATTCAACGCTGGCCTTTGTTATATAAAGCTACCATTGACTCAGAGAGAGGCTTAAAGAAGTTAGAGAGGTTTGATTTAACATTTGAGGATGAGAATGGAGATGGACCCGAGTACACCCCTTATTCCAAAGGAGGACTACGCGCCGGCTAAGACATGGAGCGATGTGAAAGAAATTTTGTCTACGGAGTCGGGGGAGTCGGCGGAGTTATGGGCAAAGGCTAGTATGATTGCTTTCGACGCCATTTGCCAGTTCGGCGTTAGCTTCATGACCATTGTCTTCGTCGGACACATTGGCGAGATTGAGCTCTCCGCCGTCTCCATCTCTCTCTCCGTCATTGGAATCTTCTCTTTCGGTTTCCTGGTACTCACTCTTTCTCCTTATAGCTCCATGGTTGTTCTGTTTCTGAAACGAATCTTATGGAATCTAGAAAGCCTAGGAATTCATACCAGTTTATAAGGCTTTATAAAACAACCTATGAATTTTATTTGTCTAGAATCTCATGCAAATACTAAAATATTCTAGATTTTTAGGGTTTTCGAATATACCTGATTATTCGCAGCGGAAAAATAAATAAAACAGATCACGTCGTGCCTCTATCGGTATCCACACACACACAAACTGAATTGAGACGGGATACTAGTACCGTTGAATCTCAGAGTATAACGAACGTTTTCGCTTAAGTTGGATCTCTTTAATTGCTTGCCTAAGAAGAAACACTTTTCTTCTTCACAAAACACACACACCAAACGAGATCTCTATCTCACAATATTATCTTGTGCGGCTGAAGCTACTATATTGCTTCATTAAGCAAAACTATATAAACTGAAGACACATGACCTAATACGTTTAGGTTTGATAATGGACCAGATCATTACTTTAATAATCTCAACTTGGCCCATTATAGTTCTAATCTTAATCATATTAAGACAACTCATGTCTAAATATATATACATATATATATATATATATTAAAATATTATATATATCATATATATATAATACTTTCCAACATATTTATTATTCAGTTTGCTTAGGTGTGTGACCCTAGAAGATCATATAGTATTAGTAATGAATTCTCATGAATTCATAGATTATAAGTGGTTTCTAGCAAAACATTATAACCACCTAATATTATATGATTGTCGAACCTCGACTTTACGATTTTAACAAGAGGAAGTACAAATGATTTTAGGACATTCCCAACAATCTCCCACTTGAACTATCTTTATATAATTCAACAGACTTAATCTATCTTTATAGATTCTTATTCCAAGAACATGTGTAGCCTTTCCCATGTCTTTTACTATGAGAACTTCCTGAATTTCTCGAATTCCTTCGAGCTTTATTTTACTTCCACTGTTCTTCTTGGAAAGAAATCCTCTTTCTAGAAAAACACCACTACTATCAACAAGCACTTTGTTCTCAGTGGGATTTTACGAGTAAACACAGATTTTTCTAAAATGTATCCCCAAAAGGATAATGGAAGATCTGTATGACTCATCATTGACCAAACAGTATCTAATAAGGTTTGGTTTCTCCTTTCAAAAACACACCATTCAACTGTCGTGTTCCCGGAGAAGTGAGTTGTGAAACAATTCCACATCTTCTAAGATGATCATTAAATTAAACACTTGACTCAAATATTTCCACTTCGATCGGATCGAATAGCTTTAATTTTCTTGTCAAGTATATTTTGTACTTTATTCTGAAAATCTTTGAACCTTTCAAAAGATTCAGACTTATATTTCTACATAAACATAACTATGAAGTACTAATATCTTCCTTTAACATTTATACTCATTGGTCCACATACATCAGTATGTATAATTTCAACAAGTATTTTATCTCTTTCACTATGTCCAGTAAGAGAAGCTTTAGTCATTTTGCCCTAAGCAAGATTCACATTTCTCATATGATTCAAAATCAAATGAGCTCAAAATTCCATCACCATGAAGCTTTTGATGTGCTTCTCACTTATGTGGCCCAAACGACAATGTTAAAGAAAAGCTTGATTCTTGTCATAAGACTTGAATCTTTTGGTACTAATGTTATAAGCATGCATGCTTTGGTTTAGAATATAAAGTCCATTCTCTAATAGACCTCAACTATAATAGATATCACAATGATTAAATAAACAACACTTGTCTTCTAATCAAAAAAATGAAATCCTTCCAAATCCAAATAATTGAATAATATTTCTGCTCATAGCAGGTACACAGTAGCAATTCTTAGTTTCCAAAACCATGCAAGAAGACCAAAACAAATGAAATATTCCTACAGCTAATGCAGCAACTCTTGCTTCATTTTCCACGCGAAGGTCCACTTGTCCTTTCTCCAAGACTCTATTGTTCTTTAGGCCCTGCATATTTCTACAAATATGAGTACCACAATTGGTATCAAATACCAAAGAAATAGAATCAGAAATAGTAACATTTACTTTTATAACATAAATACCTGAAGATGACGTTTCATAAATCTTCTTCTTTTTCAAATCTTCCAAGTATTTCTCACAGTTTCTTTTCCAATGTCCAGAACCATTACAATAATGGAACTTATCAACATTAGAAGGACAGGCTTAAACTTAGGAGAAGGATCAATCTTGCTTGGATTCGCAGTCCAGCCCGGCTTACCCTTTCCTTTGTTCTTACCTTGTTTCTTAAACTTGTTACCCCTTTGTACCATAAGAACATTTGGGATATCCTTCTTGATGCATGTTAGGTTCAGCTGTTTTAAGCATCCCATGCAGCTCAGTCAAAGTCTTTGTCAAGTTGTTCATGTTGTAGTTCATAACAAACTGATCATAGCTTGACGGCAATGACTGTAGTATGAGATCAGTCGCCAATTCTTGGCTGATAGGAAAATCCAGCTTAGCCAAGTTATCAATATAACCCATCATCTTAATGACATGCGGGCTAACTGGACCATCTATTGGTAGCTTGCACTCAATGAGAGACTTAACCATTTGGTATCTCTCAGTTCGAACTTACTCCTGAAACATACCTTTCTGGCTAGTGATCATGTCAATTGGTGAATCCACGTTCTTGTATTGCTTCTGCAAATCCGAGTTCATGGTTGCCAACATAAGACAACACACATCGACCCTATCACTGACGTGCTTCTCATAAGGAGTTCTTTCAGCATGTTGGACATTGGTCTTAGGTTTTCCAGGAAGAACCTATTCTAGGACATAGTCCTTTTTCTCCTGCTTGAGAACAATTCTCAAGTTTCGATACCATTCAAGGAAATTCGTTCCATTCAATTTATCCTTCTAAAGGACAGATCGCAATGAGAACGAATAGTGGGGAGTTGTCATTTCTGCAATAAAAGAATAGGGAGTGTTAATATGATGTTTATGGATTGAGAAATCTCAGCAATTAAGAAAACTCATATTATATTCAAACATTTTCCTCAAATGAATATAATAATCCAAGATCCATATTTCACTAAAATCCGAGTGAGCTTTGGCTCATCGCCCGAATTCTAACTATTTAGGCAAGCAACACTTTGCTAATTATATCCAATATAATTCTTGGTTGTCAGAGGACATCTTATGTCTTATCCAAACTATGTCTATAAGCCCAAAACCGTTTTGATAGCCTAGTCAAGTAAACCAATCTTGTTTCATATGATAACCGTTACCATCCACCTCACTCATGTAATTGCAGACACCCTGCTTTGGCAAGCACATCTTACAATGAAACGAGCCTTGATGGTTGATAAGATTGGATAGACATCAAAATTACTTGAAATTAATTGAGGAACAAATTTTAATTCAATTTTAATTTATATTTAAAATTTATATCTAATATAAAATATAAATATAACTAATACATATCTTATATGTATCTTAATTGAATTATAAATAATTAAATTAATTTTAATCTAATTAAAATTATTAATTAATATATATATATAAATATAATCAATGTCAGAAGCTGATCGTATTAGTTCTAAAAATATATATAACTAAACCTGGTTAATCATATTAACCAATTAAACCAAAACTGGTTTGACGGTTTAATAGTCACACACGCAAATTAATTTTTGAATCAATTTATGTATTACAATAATACACGATAGTCTTATTAATTAAATATACATGAACCAAATTCCAAAGTCATATATCTATATATCGAATATGATTTCAATTACCTTAATCAGACAGTTCTCAAACGTATATGTAGTTATTTAACAAATTAAATATACACAAACTGTCAAGCTGCCATAAAAACCGTATCATATACACGTTTATTAACTATGAACTTTTGACTATTTCTTAAATCAATATTTATGAAACTATAGTTTGAGGCTAACAAAACGTGAACGATCTTCTCAGACGCACATATCTAACTATTTTAAATTTAAAGCAATCATACAACTACAACGTACGTGCTCCCTTTAATATCACATATGTGCATAAGTGATAAAACAATTTCAATCACATGTCAATTTTATACAGCGATTAATTATAATAACTATCCAAATTGCTATATCAATTTTAACAAATATATCATATATATCTATTACACCAGATTCAGATCAATATTATGCAAGTAGGTTCTGATACCACTGTAGGAATTCATACCAGTTTATAACGCTTTATAAAACAACTTATGAATTCTATTTGCCTAAAATCCCATGTGAATACTGAAATATTCTAGATTTTTAGGGTTTTCGAATATACCTGATTATTCGCAGCGGAAAGATGAATAAAACAGATCGAGGTTTTTAGCACTCCAAACGTCGTACCTCTATCGGTATCCACACACACACAAACTGAATTGAGACGGGATACTAGTACCGTTGAATCTCAGAGTATAACGAACGCTTTCGCTTAAGTTGGATCTCTTTAATTGTTTGCCTAAGAAGAAACACTTTTCTTCTTCACAAAACACACACACCAAACGAGATCTCTATCTCACATTATTGTCTTGTGCAGCTGAAGCTACTATATTGCTTCATTAAGCAAAACTATATATAAATTGAAGACACATGACCTAATACGTTTAGGTTTGATAATGGACCAGATCATTACTTTAATAATCTCAACTTGGTCCATTATAGTTCTAATCTTAATCATATTAAGATAATTCATGTCTAAATTTGACCCCAAAAAAAAAAACTCATGTCTAAATAAATAAATATATATATATATATATATTAAAATATTATATATATCATATATACATAATACTTTTCAACATATTTATTATTCAGTTTGCTTAGGTGTGTGACCCTATAGGATCATATAGTATTAGTAATGAATTTTCACTTCATAGATTATAAGCGGTTTCTAGCAAAACATTATAATCACCTAATATTATATGATTGTCGAACCTCGACTTTACGATTTTAACAAGAAGAAGTACAAATGATTTTAGGACATTCCCAACAGAAAATTAGTGTGAATTCAAATTGCTTATGCTATATTAGTTGAAACTAACAAATATGTGACCTTAGTAAGAATTTTACGGCTCCCTCAGTTCTCTTTTTACTTGGCGTTCTACAGTTTTTTTTCTTGTGTCAAATTATTTGACGTTCGCGATATTCAACACATGTTATGACTTTCTCTATCCTTATGATTATCAAACGAATTCAGTCAAAAGTATTAACTTACATTAATGAAAATAGTTTCCTTAATTCATGTTCCAAAGTTGTAGAACGTCATGTAAAAGAGAATAGAGGGAGTAGTATATTATACATTTTTATTTTTGAATTTATGACACTTAGATGAACATATAGATAGCAAATCATTCATAAACAAAACGAAATACTTTTCAAAACTTTTTTTCTAAAAACTGGTCTAATCGGCGCCTATTCTAAACATTAACTAGATTTTTGATCCGCGCTTAAAAAGTGCGGGTATTATTTTTGTTGTTTTATCTACAGATGAATTGATAAGTTTTTTGGTTTGATGATATAAAGTGTCAAAGAATTAAGATCAAGTTATTATGCAGGTATGAAGAAATTTTATTTATAATGTGTCAGACAACTTTTTTTATGTTTCTAAATAAGTTAACAATGTTTATACCTGAAATGTGTACTTAAAGATTGTATATTTAACAATTAAATAGTCCATTTTTTTAGTTTTGTGATTAATTCGTAAAATCATTTAGTTACAAAATTTCAATCGCTCAGTGATCCGCCCCGTCCAACCCGCAACAGGTTGAGTCATTTTTTCGATTCAAAAATTTGACCCATCTGACCTGCAAAGAAAATATATTTTTGCAAGAAATGATTTATAAAATTTAGAAGATAATCAGCTCATTAATGAAATCCATTAGTATATCATTATTAGGCCCAAAAAAAGACTAAAATGTCATTAATGAAAAATAAAAATTGTTCATATCATTAAGGATATAATTGGAAAACCTAAAAAACCCATTAAACAGAATGTTTATGTTTTAATAGTATAGATTGTTTCTAAAGTTCCTTAATAATCACCTACTCTGGTTTCTTTTACTTTAATCTGTTTTTACTATTAAATTTTATTCCTAGATAATGATTTTTTATGATTAATAAAAATCAAATTTGAATAGTAATCTTAATATTCAGTATAGTCAAGCTAATTAATGTCAGTTTTGAAACATGTAGCTTGGCATGAGTAGTGCACTTGAAACGCTCTGTGCCCAAGCATTTGGAGCTGGTGAAGTCAATTTGTTAGGAGTTTTAATGCAGAGAGGCTGGATTGTCTCGTTAGTTTCCTGCCTAGTCTTCCTCCCTATATACATCTTTGCCACTCCGATTCTGAGACTTCTCGGTGAGTCAGAGGAGGTTGCAGTTTCAGCTGGAGAATTCACACTTCTAACCATCCCTCAGCTTTTCTCCCTAGCCTTCATTTTCCCTACCACCAAGTTCCTTATAGCGCAGAGAAAAGTAGAGGTCATGGCTACTATTGGATTCTGTGCCCTTGTCCTACACGTCTTTATGCTCTGGCTATTTATAATCGTCTTTGGTTGGGGAACAAACGGTGCTGCCTTGGCGTTTAATATCACAAACTGGGGAACAGCAATCTCTCTAATCGTTTATGTGGTTGGTTGGTGTAATGAAGGATGGTCTGGTTTGTCTTCGTTGGCTTTTAAAGAGATGTGGGTTTTTGTTAGACTCTCTATTGAATCCGCTGTTATGATTTGCCTTGAACTATGGTATATGATGAGTATCATAGTTCTTACTGGTCACCTTGACAACGACGTTATCGCGGTTGATTCTCTCTCCATATGGTAAGTTTTCAACATTATTTTTTTTTTAAAAGGCTTTATAAATTTACTGTTTATTAATTTATCGAATACTAATTTATAGATTTTCAACATCATTTTTTACCTCAAAAACATTAATGTGCTTGTATCCACTCTTAAACATGTCCTACATTTCAGCATGAATCTCAACAGTGTGGAGCTCATGTTGTTCGTCGGAGTAAACATGGCTATATGGTATTATCACTATCTGTCACAACATTCTATGTTAACCCATTTCTTAGCTTACTCTATTCAACTTATAACCCACACTTGTCTACTTTAACTAGTATGCGTGTCGGCAATGAACTTGGCGCCGGCCGTCCAATAGCAGCGAGATACTCTGTCTATGTCGCGCTGTTCCAGTCTCTCCTCATCGGTCTTGTCTTTATGGTGGCTGTCATCATAGCCAGAGACCATTTTGCCATCATGTTTACAAGCAGCCAAGTACTTCAACACGCTGTGTCTAAGCTAGCTTATCTTCTTGGCATAACCATGGTTCTCAACAGCGTGCAGCAAGTTCTTACCGGTACAAAAATCTAAAAGTCTTTCATGTAAACCAAACCAGAGGTATCAATCAACGTATAATGATTTCGGTTTATTCATTTTTTTTTAGGTGTGGTTGTTGGAGTTCTTAAGCAACGCCCAGTGGCTTATATCAACTTGGTTTGTTACTTCATTTTCGGCATTCCCTTTGGCTGTTTCCTTGGTTACAAAGCAAACTTGGGAGTGATGGTAAGTGAAAGAGAATATCTCATCCAAGTTATCAAAATACACTAGGATAAAAATATTTTAATTTTTATCATTATTTTGAAACACTCATAACTAAATATTATAAATTTGATATATTTATATTTGTATTGAAAATCCCAAGAATTCTCTAGTGGAAATGTTTTTATAGTGGTTTTTATAATGTCTTCAGGGGCTTTGGGGTGGAATGATAGCAGGATCAGCTCTTCAAACGTTATGCCTGATGTTTGTGGTGTACAAGATAGACTGGGAGAAAGAGGTAAAGTTCCTATACATTTCTTCACTGAGATCGATTGGATGCAAAATACAATAAATAACAATAAAAACTGTGATGAACAGGTGGAGGAGGCCAAAAAACGCCTGCCGGAACGTAGCCGGAATGAAACAACATCAGAGAATGCAATTGCGTGATTTTGGATTTTAATCTTCACACAGATTCAACTATTCAAACGACATTGTACCTAATAATGAATTCAGAACATGTCTTCCCCACATAAATGCTTAAGAGATCGTTTTATTTCTATGTTTTGCTCTGGAACATAAATGCATACATATATATTTATAGATATATTTCTTGTTAATGTTTCTTACAACAAATAGTCAGGATGGCCGAGTGGTCTAAGGCGCCAGACTCAAGTTCTGGTCTTCGAAAGAGGGCGTGGGTTCAAATCCCACTTCTGACAAACTATTTTGCGATATTTTATTTCGTGTCTTCAGTTGCTTTCTTTTTCAATTACCCCTACCTTATAGTTAGATGTCGATTCCAATGAAAATAGTATGCTTGACTTACGTTAATTTAACATTAGATGAGGCCAACGAACATATATAGATAGATATGCCCACTATTATGAGTAGATTTTGGCTTACCTTGAGTTGTTATTCCTCACAGTTTTACCAAAGACTTCAATCGCAGGACGCAGATGTGAAGAAACAAGTTAGTAGTTTAAGCTGCATATGAAATAAGGGATCACAGAGATAGTTAATAAAATTTAATAATTTGAAAGTTTATATCTATAAAGATTCCGTGTAAAAACAAACTTTGTGATGCCGAGATGTGTCTGAATAGCATTTTAATTTTAACTTTTTTTTATTACATATTAGCCTCAGAAAAATTGGGAATCAACACTGATATTTTACTAGGCTTTATCAAGATCCGGTCTGGTATTATTCAAAACGGAAACTTTGGAGAACAGAGTTATGTGTGGATACCCACTTGATACGTTTGCTCTTAAAGGGTTTAGTATAGATGTTTATTACACGGCAAGAACCCCCACAAGTCAAGAAGATTCCTTCCACTTAATTGAGTAAATTCCAACTCATAGGAAAGAGACCTTATACTAAGACCATCTTTATCGCAAACTTTAGATGGGGTTTTAAGGGGAAAAAGTTGGGGTAGGACCTAAAAAAAGAAAAACCGTGGCTTGTTGTTTCACAATAGGCGACGTTTGTTGTCTGTATTTTGCACTGTTTTGCGGGCCCCACGACACGTGGCGGCCCGCTATTGGTTCCTTTCTAATTTTTTTTTCTTTTTAAATCAGCTAAAACCAAAAAAAAAAAAAAAAAATTTAAAAAAACTCAAACAGCGCCTCCACGATAAAGGTGGTCTAAAGCTCCAACGCAAGCGTTCTCTTTAAAAAAAAAAACATTGCTCCATATACTAGTTATAGGCGTATACTTTTGATTCCATTTGTATTAGTAGCTAGTAAGTAATAACATGATCGGTTTCTTGAGAAGGTGGAAAGCTAATGAAAGTAGGAACTTATCAGAATCTGCCACGGTTATCTTAGAGACTTAGACTACGCAGAAGTACAAGCCTACGAAGATATTATCAATGCTACATTAGAGTGCCTTCTTTTGACTATCATATCTGATTATCAAAAAGAATCAGTTTAATTAGTTATTGACCAGAAAAGTAGAGAAAAATGCAGGGAATATATGTATGATGTAACAAAAAGAATTGAAATGAGACAGTAGCAGCATAGCAATCCAAAACATCAGGACTTAGTAATACATTAGGAGATATAATAATGAGATTAGGAATAACAATAACCTGAATTTCTTTTTTTTTTTTATAACACTACGAAATAAGGTGTCTGATACAACTAGAGAATATAAAAGAATGGGATGTCAGTAGACACCAAATAAAAAATGGAGAAAAGATTCATCAAAACCTCCTGAGGTTGAGCCTCCAGACAAAGTAGACGGTGTAGCCAAGCTGGAGCACTTCGGGCAATGTAAGACTGGTTACGTAGGTCGCGTGTGACGCTCAAGGCTATAGCATCGGCCGCTTCATTACGTTCAGGAAGAGCATGAGACAAACTCCATGAATCAATTCGGGCGAGGAGGAAGGAGGTGGCATGGCGAGTATGGCTAAGACTTTGGTGATCTTCAGGCCGTAAGAAAACATCACGGAGGCTTTCAGAGGAGGTCTCGAAGATGACATTGGAGAAATGTAAGTTGTGTATACATTCCACCGCCCAGAAGAGAGCCCAGAGATCAGCCTCTGTTTTGGTGCGCATATAAGAGTAAGCCCGGCGGCTGTGCATTATTGTGTTTCCCTTATGATCTCGTAAAATCCAAGAGACCCCACTGATATGATTGGAATTTACCCAAGAAGATCCCACATTACATTTAAGGAATCCATTATCTGGTTTATTCCACGTCACCGTATTTCTCCCTTCGTCGTCTGCAGTAGCACTTGTCGCTGTGAAAGAGTCTATCCATATGGATTCTTCTGCATAGGCTTTTTTAGTGCTAACCGAGGGTTCCAAATTCTTATGTTCAAACACAAAGGCATTTCGAGCCTTCCAAATTTCCCATAGTAACCATGGAAATACCTGTCTTATATGTATATCCGTAGTTGGGTTGCGAGCAACCTTGATCAGGTGGCTAAAATTGGAAAAAGTGGAATTTGGAGAGAAACCGTCTGAGGGTACTGGAAAATGAGAGAGCTCCCACGTGACGCGTGCTTTAGGACAAGTAAAAAGGACATGGCAAATACTCTCCACATCAGTACCACAAACAGGACAAGTAGGATCAACTGGGATTCCACGAGTATTTAGTCTCTGTTTGACCGCTAAAGCACCAGATAGAGCACGCCACATAAAATGTTTAATTTTTGGTGGAGCTTTGATCTTCCATAGGTCTTTCCACAATTGTTTTTCGATGGGAGGGAGAGAGTGTGTTTGTGGGTGATCAAAACCAACCAGAGCCTCTAACAATTTATACCCACTACGAGTCGAGTATTTTCCATTAGGCGTAAATCCCCATCTGAGTGAGTCCGCAAGAAATTCTGATGGTTTCAGAAGTAGGATTCTTTGAGCGTCCTGTGATGTAAAAGTCTGGTGTACCAAAGCAGCATCCCAATGGTGGGTCCCCTGGAGGAACAAATCCGAAACTTTTAGAGCTAAATTAATGGAGCTATCATCGCGGTACATTGGAGGCCTAGGAACAGTGTCAATGATCCAGTTTTCCGCCCAAACATTGGAGTCGGCTCCATTGCCAATGTGGCGGTACAGTCCCGTTTTTAACAGTTCTCTGCCATGCATGATACTCCGCCAAGCATATGATGGACGTGTTCCCATGCCGCAGTCAAGAAAATTCCCATTTTTAAAATATTTACCTTTAAGGATTTTAGCAACCAAAGAGTTGGGGTTGTTCCAGATCCGCCACGCTTGTTTCCCTAGCAAGGCCTGGTTAAAACGCCCAATATCATGAAACCCCAGACCTCCTTGGTCTTTCGGTTTACATAACTTTTCCCAAGAAACCCATGAGATCTTTCGTTTTTTATCGCCACTACTCCACCAGAATTCTATGATCGCACTTGTGATTTTTTCACATAAACCTTTTGGAAGTTTAAAAACGGACATTGCATATATGGGTAAGGCTAGGGCGACCGATTTGATAAGGACTTCCTTAGCCCCCATCGATAACGTTTTAGAGTACCATCCTTGTAACCTGCCTTCTAATTTTTCCTTGATAAAATTCAAAAGGTCTTTTTTTGATCCCTGGAAACATTCAGGAAGACCAAGGTAAGAGCCTTCTCCTCCTTCCTTATCTATACCCAGAATATTTTTGATTACCTGCTTGGTTTCCTCCGTAATCTTTTTTCCAAAAATAATGGAAGATTTCGCAGGATTGATCATCTGACCAGATGCTTCCTCATAGAGTTTTAAACCTTGTAAAATTTCTTCACAATCAGAGATGGAAGCTTCACAAAGTAACAGGCTATCATCCGCAAAAAGTTGGTGATGAACGGAGGGGCTGCCTGCAGCTAATTTTATGCCATGTAGTTTTCCTTGGGATTCAGCTCTGTTAAGGACATGAATTAGAGCTTCGGCACATAGAATAAAAAGAAAGGGGGATAACGGGTCTCCCTGACGAATGCCTCGTTCCGGTTTAATAAAACCATGTGAACGTCCATTAAGCAACACCGAGAAAGTAACCGTAGTAACACAGGACATTATCCAAACGATCCATCTACGATCAAAACCCAATCTTTCCAATAAAACTTCGAGGAAATTCCATTCCACCCGATCAAAAGCTTTCGACATATCAGTCTTTATTGCCATACTTTCCTTACCAATTTTCTCATTAGTTCTCAGGCCGTGTACCAATTCATGCGCAATAATGACATTGTCAGTGATCAGTCGGTCACCAACAAAGGCCCCTTGAGTCTCCGATATGATACTCGGTAATACCATTTTGAGACGATCACATAAAATGCGGGAGATGATTTTGTACTGTACACTACAGAGACTAATAGGGCGCATATCCTTCATTTCCGTAGGGTGGGTGATTTTTGGTAATAGGAATAGTTGGGTATGATTCCAGCCAGCAGGGAGGATTGCACTTTGGAAAAACCCCTGAACCTCCTCAGTAATTTTCGGCCCTACAATGTGCCAGTATTTTTGATAGAAAAAACCAGTAAGACCATCTTCACCAGGAGCGCTACTACCTTTAATCCCAAAGGCAGCCTTTTTAATTTCGTCAGGAGAGACCTCTCTGGTTAAATCTGCGTTCATCTGTGAGGTAACCCTGAGATTAAAACCATCGAACAAAGTTTCTAAATCGCTTGGATTCGAGCTAGTAAATAAATCTCGGAAGTACTCTGTAGCAATATGACCTTTAGACCCTTCAGAGTAATGTTCATTCCCAAAAATATCTTTGAGCATGAGAATTTTATTTCTCATTCTTTTTCCTTTAACCACGTTGTGAAAATATGTAGTGTTCCGATCACCTTCCCTTAGCCATTCTTCTCTACTTTTCTGTCTCCAGAAAATTTCTTCTTCCCTATAAGCCAGAGCCAGATCTTGTCTTATCCTACTCACTAGACCAAAAATAGGAAATTGTTTTGAACTTTCTTTGTCCAAATCTGCCTGAAGCCGATCAATTCTAGATTTAGAATTCCAATCATTAATCCTTTTGAGTTTAGCCAGTTCGGTACGACAACGAGCAATACGATCAAGAATACTAACCCCTGGATTAGTATTCTCCGCGTTCCACCCACGAGAAATGGCATCTTCAACTCCTCTTTTACCATGCATACGTCTATCGAAATAGAATCGTCTTCTATGCAAATTATCCGGTTCCAGG